TACATTTGGTCAGCTATTTCTTATTTTATTTCATCGTTCCTATCTTTTCCCTGTTTCAAATGGATGCTCATTACTGTATAATGCTTCTTAAACGTGAAAAGGTTTAGCTTGATAATTTCACATACTTTTCCATTTTAGCCATTGCTTTTTTGTTGTTCTTGTTTGTCATTTTTCATCATTTTTCCTTGAAAGTTCTCTTTCTCAGGAGGTGTGAGAGGAATGGATGTTACAAGACAGGGACTTTAGGATTTATTTTTCTCTCTGTAGGCCTTTTGGTATGTATGTTATTTAATTCAGGTTATGCTTATCCACCATTTTGATAAGTATTTTCATATGTAGATGGCCACCTTTGTAGTGTTTATCCCAATTTACATCTATTAATATCACATGATTTAGTTCTACAGCTATAATAAGGACATATTTATCTTCTGATATCAACCTTAATGATGCTATTTGGACAGATAAAGCTCCCCCCTCCATTTATTTTAATGTTGTGGTTTAATCCCTGCCAGCAACCAAGCACCATGCTTGCTCGCTCACTCTCTCAGTGGGATCGGGGAGACAATCAAAAGAGTAAAAGCTAGAAAACTCAGGGGTTGACATAAAGACAGTTTAATAGGCAAAGCAAAAGCCTGTGCACACAAGCAAAGCAAACCAAGGAATTAATTTACTCCTCTCCATTGTCAGACAGGTGTTCAGCCATCTCCAGGAGAGCAGGGCCCCATCACATGTAATGGTGACTTGGGAAGACAAACACTATCAATCCAAATATCCCTCCTTTCCTCCTTCTTCTCCACGCTATATATACTGAGCATGATGTCATATGGTCTGGAATATCCCTTTGGTCAGTTGGGGTCACCTGTCCTGGCTGTGTCTCCTCCCAGTCTCCCACGTACCCCCAGTTTCCTTGCCAAGGTGGCAGTATGAAAAGCAGAAAAGGCCTTGGCTCTGTGTAAGCCCTGCTCAGCAATACTCAAAACATCTCTGTATTATCAACCCTGTGTTCAGCACAAATCCAAAACACAGCTCCATACTATCCACTGTGAAGAAAGTTAAGTCCATCCCGACCCAAACCAGCACATTTAGAATCACCATCTTTGCACAGTATTTACCAGCATGCTTACTCTTTGAGGGAAAAAAAAAAAAAAGGATTTATATGCAGTTCTTCCCCCGGCCCAGCCACCCCATTTGAGGGTTACAGCATGGATAGACCACAATAATGAACTCAGTAAAGCTTCTGCATAACCATAGAGCATATCCTTTCCTGCCTATTACTTCTCTCAGTATTTTATGTCATACACCTTTACCTTGCCAGCGGTGAGTATTGTTTTCCCTCTGTTTATCTAGATTCAAATGACCTCTTTTGGTCTCTTAAAGAGTGCTCTAAGAATAATTTTCTCCCCTCTCATCTGGCACATTTGGTTTTAATCAATCTACTTTTTGCACATCTTTTCTATAGATTTGCTTTCATTTCACCTAATTACTTCAAATATATAGGTGTTAATATTCTTGTAGATTATCCAGTTAAAGAAATTAATTTTCCTTATGTGGTTTAGTGAGAATGGGCAGTTTGCCTTGCAAACCTCCCATGCCCACTGTTGACTGACACTTTGCCAAAAAGTTGCAATCTCTTTTACTATTCATTTCTTGATGGTTTTTATTTCCCTATATCTCTTTGTGTGGCAGTTAATATTTTTTCTATTAAATTTAACCTTTGCTTACTTCTGCATCATATTTTCTTGATCATCTCTGTATTAGACTTCTTTAAGTAATCAACTTTTTATCCTTATCCAGGGTTCATTACATTTTAAGAGTGACAATTCAGGGGAAGAACCAAAACAGATATTAATGTAATTTGTTCTTAACCTAAGCAATAGTTTAGTTTCAAAGAAAAAAACCCCACAGATTATTTAATGAATGAATTTTTATTATGACCAGTATTACACAGAATCCTTGTAGATATGACAACGATGTACAGGTACATAGACTAGACTGGTGCATTACAGTGTGTTTGTGTTATTTGAGGAAATATTAAATATTTCGTGATTGTTCAAGTCAAGTAATGCTTACCCAAATTTATCTTTTCCACATCAGGCAGTTTAATTTTCTTGGTTCTATTCTAGCATAGTGTGTGTGTCTAGTATCTTTCTAAGCTTTCCACTGGCAGCTGTAGGTATAAAGTAACAGTGTGTGTGTTATTGAAGTATTAGGACATTCCTGAAAAAGAAACAAAATTAAACCTAAAGGAAGAGCAAAAAACCTGTTTACAGGAACTTGAACCTTTCAAGGTTATAGAAAAGAAAGGAGGAGTTCTAAGCAATTCAAATTCAATTCTGGAGTAACACTTCATTTCCCAATATAACATCTTTTATTTTGTTGCCAGTCTCATATTTTATGGCCAGGGTTCATCCTTTACTCCTGGTAGTTCATCTACATGGATTGTTTTGTTACTCAGAAGCAAGAAGTGAGTATGTGGACTACAAATTAATAATAATTTTTAATTTTTTTTTTATTTTTACAATGAGCTTTCCCTATTAATCAAAACAGTATGAGAAGAGCAAAAAGTTTTCCTGATCAGGCAGCGTGAGTTGGAAGAGCCCAGAGCTGTCTCCCATGATGTGCGAAGGCAGTCAGGGCACATTTTGAGTGAAGGAACAGGTTGAGTGATGGCAAGAATGAGTGAGAGAATGACTCTACTCCTTTGCACGCTCTAGGAGTGTCAGGAGATTTTAGCACTCCTATTCCCTTCTGCACCAGCTTTCAATCTCTCATCCTGACATTCCTTCTAACACTCCCATCCTTCCCAAAAGACAACCACCCCTTTGAATAGGCTGTTGAAATAGTGTGAGTTTCAAAATTTAAGCCTCTGTGGTATGTTTTTTAAATGAGCTAAAAGTATCGTGATAGATATATTGAAAATTGGAGATACAGATTTGCTTCACCTCCTAAAGCAAAAGCTTGTAAGAAATGTGCTAGTTCATTTAGGTGAGACACCTGTGAGAGAAAGCAATCATCTTTTTTTGCATCATCTTCCTAGGGAAATAGAAGTGTTCCCAGAGCATTATCACGTGAAATGTACAAGTTCAACTAAAAATAGAGATGGATTTTTGCCTAGAGTGACAATCAACATGACTAAATATTGTTAGAATTTGTCTAATTTCATGGAGGAAAACAAATATTTTTGAAAGTTGCATGACAAATCTGTTAATTACAACATAAGCAAAATTAAGGCTTGGTGCACCCTGCTTACGGGGAGACTCCAAGCTGTCAGTCTCTGCGCAGGCCACCTTTCAGGATACTGAAGACAGGCCCATCAGTAGGACTGGTTGTTAGACCCACAATATAAAGGAGAATCACACATTTCACACCCCAACATGCCCCTAAATTGCTGCCAGACTCTGAGGCTTGGTCAGCTCAGTCCTAGTTTTCATTCTCATTCACCTGGACTAATCTGATGCACCTGGAGTGGCTGCTCCCCATGGTTCTGATTGCCCCATACAGTCACAGTGGGGTCCATCTCAAAAACCATTTCAAAAACCACATGAAAATCATACACATACTTTTTAACTACTGATGCTTTGAAGTGTCACCTTTTCATGCATTGATGTGTTTATACAGAAACCCTCAATAACTCTTGCTGGTTATCCCCAAATTCACAGAAATGGACAAGGGACAATTTGGTCTGAAACAAAACCCAAACCAAACCAAAAAAACCAAAAACAAAACCAAAACAACAACACATAGGAGAAAGAAAGTTAGAAAGTTATTTACAAGGTAATATTTTTTTTCACCTTTATAATTTCTGTATGTATAGTAATTACTGATCTTGCTAGTACTATCCAGTGCTGCTGCTATTCTGTATGAACTTCTTGTGGCTACAAGGTCCTTCAGCAGTTAGCACACACACAAGATTAGCAACTAATTAGAACCTCACCACCAATAAAGACATATGGACTTGGACTTCTGGATCATAATGGATGATGGCAAATCCAACCATCCTTTTGGTGAGGAACAAAAAAATCTTTATTTTCCTGATATGCAACAGTGAACTTGCCATGACCTCTACAGCATAAACATCTCAAGCGCTCCATCTTTAGGTGTTTTGGATGTCATTAAATAACAATAAATTTCAGTCTTCTCATTTATTCACTTTTATTTAACCACAGTTTTCAATTTCACTGCTTGTCCTTCCCCCGTGCCTGATCCTTAACTCAGTCTTCAAAACTGTCTCGCCACAATCTTCCACTCTTACTGCACCCTCCAGTTTGATCCTAATAAAAAATTCTTCCCACATCTGAAAACAACAAATAAATAACTAAAACAAACACGTTCAATGCTCAGAAACACTGCAGTGAAAATAACTTGAATGTCAAGAATCACCAGAAGAGGAAGGGACAGTAAAACAGGATTTTGTATCTTAGCACCATTGTAGCATTGTGCGAAATAGTTGCACCCTGAGTAGCGTACACATTTCTGGCCCATAAATAAATAAACAAACGCAAGTGGTAAAGAAATTTCTGAGAAAAGTGATAAAGATGATTTAAGGTCTGAAATGGCTTCTTTACTAAGAATATTAGGACACTTTCAGAACAGAGACCACTAGTGGTTGAAGATGTTCTTGCTTATTTTTACTATCTGTAAGGTCAGTGGTTAAATCTATCACATTTAGTGAGGTCTAATCTAATTATAAAATTAGTTACAAACCAAAAGGTTACTGAAACCAGAAATGCTACATTTCATAGGCAGTTTCCTTAGGTAAACGGACTCCTTTTCTCTATAGGCATTTTCCAAATCAAAGAAAAAAGATGATGATGATGTGTGGAAAGATGAGATTGGTGCCATCCCTCTCCTTTATAGAAATCAATTCTAGACTACACAGCTGCTTGCCCAAGCAAAGCACTTTTTAACACAAAAAACCCAAGCAAAGAAGTCCCCCCATAAAAGCACCAACCCCAAACAAAAAACGACTCTTCCTCTCCTCCACCTCTCCAAAAAACCCAACCAAATAACAGTAAAACAACTTCCCCTAAAAAAAAAAATCCTATTCAAGTGCTTAACTATTTTTTTCAAGGCTTCCAAATTGCTAGCATCCTAGTTTGGGCTGGTATTTTCATGGTTCTCTTAGAAAATAGTTGGGAAGACAACAGAGGAATTCCATGACAGGAAAACACTGCAACGTCTTTGGGAAGAGGATTTGGTTTCTGTTTGGAATCCCTCCCTACATGTGAAGAGCCAGTATCATTTGTATGCGGAGTGCAGAGACCTGAAACAATCAAACTCTCAAAAATGTGGTATATAGACATGACATCTGGAGAGGAAAAAAGGTTTGTTTGCATCAGCCTAGTTAGTATGACAGGGTTGTTTCTGTACCATGCACCCATACATCAAGTTTTCTAGGACAGAAAGGACAAGGGGAGGGGAAGGATTTAATGACCATGGGCTCCTTACAGAAGTATTTTATCATGTAGGTTGATCCATCTCTCTCTCGGCTGTGAAGCCTGCAGAATCAAAATAACATTTTCTGTCAGAGCAAGCTGGAACATCCCAACTGTTCCCTGTTTTGGTTTTGTGGGGGGGGTTTTTGGCTTTTGGTTGGTTGGTTGGGGTTTTTTCCCCTTAGCCTGGGCAGCAGCCACAGTATAAATAAATGGCAGTCAAGAAATACAAATTAGCAGTTGATAGAAGAAACACTAGAAGAATTCAAAATGCAGGCTGGTTTTAACAACAGCCAGAGCGAGGGGCTTATCACCCCACTGTGGTATCATCCAGCAGATTCATCTTCCTTGTCTGCAAATTAACGAAATGAAAATGACTCGGGAAGGGCAAAGGGGGGCAGGAAGCGGTGGCAGAGAAGGTAACCAGAGGGAGATAGAGAGGAAAGGAAGAAGGAGGAGGTGGAAGAGGGAGGTAAGCTGCTTCCCGGGCAGGATTGGTCAGAAATTGCTGCAGCCCCGGGCGGGTCGTGACTGCCCCCCCCCCCACTTCCCTGCTGGGCACCAGAGCTGAACCGGAATGCCCTAAAGAGATCAGCCCTCCCCTTGACTCAGCTGTGCCATGGTAACGATAAGGATCTCAGAAGATGCAAAGACAAAGACACAGGAGGACTTAGCTAGGGTTTACGGCAATCTGTTTTTCTGTTATTATTAGATACACACAGAGTATTTATTGTGACCTGCAAAAAACCGCAGTTTTTTGATGCATTTCCATAGCTGTGGTGCAATTGGTTTCCAGACTTTCCAACAAACTTCCCAAGTATCAGGAATACCTCCAAAATAGTGTGAATGAAGACTAGCGGATTTCTTTCATGTTTACCAAAATCTAAATCGATCCTGCACTATGTATTTGAGAGAAACACACAATAACCTTTTCTTTAAAAAGTTCATTTGGTCTCTAAGCAGGTCTGTTTTCAGTGTTTATGAAAAATAAACTACTCATGGTATTATTCAAACGGTTTCTATAACATTACACCAGATTTGTAGGATATTCCTACTTTATTGTATTTTGGTGTGCTATGTAAGTTTGCATAAGGTACTAAAGAAATTAAAAATTTGAGTGAAGGAATTTGGGAGTAATTTAATAAAAGACCTATAAAAGTTGAACCTTTGCATTGAGTATGTGATGTAAATGTTCAAATAAGTTTTACAAGGAGGAGCCTACAGAATCATAGGGATAGCATTGGTACCAAACAATTAATTCCATTCACATTTGTTGGCCTATGTAAATACTTTAGCTTACCTATATTGTTGATAAATTTGCTAGCCTAGAGCAAATTCTCATGAGAAAAAAAATAAAATCACATTTTTCTCTATGGCTTTGGAAGACTGCTTACTACCAAAGGAGCTTGAACAATATTTCAATTCTGTCCTCAATCAGGTCACTAGAGAAAAATTAAGCATAGACAGTCTTTTTCAAATACAAACAAACAAACAAAACAAAACCAGCAAAAACCAAACCAAAACAACGTGAATAAGACTTTTTGAAGGAAAAGAATATCTAAGGACTTTTTCTCACACTGTATTGTGACTATGAAAAAGCCTAAAAGTGAATGTTCTTCTATTAATTTACTTTTCTAAAACTTGTTTCTCAGCATACTTGGGAATGTTTCTGCAACTGAATATAGTTTATTTTTCTTTTCTTTTTTTTTATATTGTCTTGCATATTATGTTTTAGTCCTTTACAAAATAGAAAGCTGTTTTTTAGTAACTACAGGGTGAATAATGTTCTTGGGAGCAAGTCATCCGACAGATTGCACTACCTATGCTACAGTTAGTACTTTAAAGCATAAGGATATATTTTGTGTGGACTTAAAATTCAAAAGTAAATTAGGGTCATGTATGTAATTAAACACTTATTTTGTGACCACCAGCATCCATGATGCACTGTTCTGAAATCTAAAGTCTTTCCCCTTTTTGAGAATTTAGGTTGGCTGAATAGTTGAAGTGAAATTTGGTAAGGGAAATTTTGCATCTGCAATGAAATAAAATATTGTGGTTTTCAAGAAAACACTTTTAACTCTCATCTGTCACATAAGCAAATAGGTGATATAATACATTTCTCTCCTCTATTTCAATATATACAACCCTGTTCTTTAACTATGGTATGCAGACAGAACTTGTTCATTTACAACAAGCGCAGTTACCTGAAGTGGAAGAACAAGTTGCCTTTCTACATTAAATATGATTGACTGGTCAGGAGAAACAGGTATATGCAGTAATTGTAGGAAAACATTCCCGATGTAATTTAGCTGAGGAAAAAGGATTTAGTATACAGAACTCATCAGTTTTCCTCTACTAATAGAAACATACTTAAACCCATCATGAAAATCCTATTGGTGGGATAGAGAGAACATTGTTTATAAATTGCTGTATAAGGAAACCGAGCTCGTTATATGCACCATCTCAAGGGGGAAGCATGGCTGGAAAGTTCTGAGAAGGAAATGGTGAACTTCATGCATTACAATACTGAGCTTAACTAGTTTTTAATGAGGAACATAATAGAAAAACAATACAAACACTTTAGACTAGATTCCAATCTGCTCATATCTTATTTGAGAACTGTTAGAATATTTGTGTTTTCAAATGATTTTTCAAAAATCAGAGGGAAAAAAAACAAACGACAAAACAAAACAAAACCAGACACCTCTTTTCTAATTTCCAAGAGAAGCAGAACAGATATACTAAAGTGCCTAAGAAGGAAGTATGAGCATTGTTCTTGAAAAGAAATGCTCCCTCCTCACACTGTATCTTCAAGGGCAAAAATGAAACTCGGGAGGCCTCTGTTTCAGGAGTTTCAAATGGCCCAATCAGAACGTTGTACAAATCAATTCCCTGCTTTAGACTCACGTAATCTCTTCCTCCCATACTAAATATACACCAATAGAAGGCTATTTTGCCAAATATACTAAATACAGAAAATTTGAGATTATTAAACAAACAAAAAATCCTTAAGTGTTTTAAACGTAATTCTAGCCTCAAATTTCAGCATAGTTACTAATAAAGTCTTGCAGTTAATGTTGTTTCAAAGTCCAACTATGAATGGTAGGTGATTAATACCTAATGCAATTTTTTTCAGTAAGACAGAGATGATTAAAAAAAAAGAAAGAAAAAAAACTCCTCTATCTATTTCAGGAAATAAAAAGAAAAGATAAAATAACAATCAAAAAACCGAACACACACACACACAAAAACAACAACAACCAAAAAAAAATCCCAAACCAACCCGAAAATCGTGCAAAAATCTTGTACCGTTTGATAGCAGTCCCGCCTTTCTCATCTTGTTTCCAAGCAAGACTTCAGCTGGGCATTCCTGCGTTATCTCTCTCTGCTTGAAAAATATTTTCCACACAATGGCACAATGGCACCGTGGCTCATTTCTCTGCCTCCTGAGACAGAACCCTGAAAAAAACCCCCAACCAACCAAACAACAACAGCAGAAGCAAACAACTACGGAGTTTTCCTTTTTTAGTTCTCAAGGACGGTTTTAAAGAACAAAGAAAACATCCTCCCCAGCTCTCAGAAAGCCTCATTCTGAGGCTCCCAGCTCCCGGCGTTGCATTCCTGCTTCCCCTTCGGGCAGGTTTTTTCTTCCGGAATAAACATTACTGAATAAAAAAGAAGTAAAAGCCTCTTTTAACTACATCTGCATAACAAAGGTGAAAAGCGGTGTTCTTTACAGTAGAAGAAAAGAAAAAAAAAAAAAAGAGAAAATCAACGTGTGCAGAGGAAACAGAGGGGACAAGAGCTGTCGCTGTGCCCCAGCAGGGCGGACTCCCCGAGGCACCAATGGCGGACAGGCTCCTCCCTGCAAATACCGATCTCTCGCGTAATATCTTGATTTATGTGCCCCCGACCCAGGGATCCTCAAGCCAGATGCGGCGACTTCAGAGCCCGCGACTCCCGCGTCGTCAAGGCCATGTCCCCCTCTTTGGAGCACGAGGGGCTCCCGCAGTCAAGCAGGCCAAGGCAGTCGTAGCGGCCAAGGGCCCCAAAAAGGCAACTAAGGCTACAAAATCCAAAAAGATGGTACCGAGGAGCTCGGCCAAGCCGAAAGCGACAGTATCCAGGAGTCTGTACCATATAATTAAAGGAAACTTTTGCAGAAAAACGCCAAGAGCACTTTTGAACACCACCAGGATGAAAGAGAAAGAACTGAAACATGAGTTCAAGTCTAGACTGGTACATGATGACCCCCTTTCCTGTGTATGTGAACTATATGAACTCACACTCCAGCCTATTTTGCTTTAACTCCATTATGATAGTCACCATCATTATCCATCACTTAAATGGAATATTTGACGCTGTCCTTTGGAAACTGTCCTGGACAACATCCCAGTGAAGTATTTACCATTTTCTTACTATCCCCTGATAGCCCCAAATTGCAAACAAGAAAAAAAAACGACCTCAGAAGGCAGAAAATTACAGCAACCACTACGCATAAGGCACCTGGACACCTTTCCACCCCAACACAGGGACAGCAGCGGCTCACCGGGAGAGGAGGGGGCCCAATCTCCCTCTGGTTTGAAAACCGCGCGTTCCAGTCGGATTGGCAAGGACGGCGCCGTCCCCGTCCCATCCTACCCCCACCGAGCTTAATGGTGCTTCCCACCCACTGAATCCATGGGGAAGCAAGCAGAGTATACCCTTGCCTAGTTCACATCTCTCAAACCATGCTGCGGTGACCGATTTCAATCGCAATAGCTACCTTTTATTTTTTTTCCCAAAAAGAGAAACGGAGGCACATTTACATAAGAACATGGATGTCTTGCAAGATGCAGAGAACTACACTGATCAGCAAGTTAAAAGTTGGAAATACACAGAAAGTTTATACTTCAGAAAGCTTCCTTTGACATTTAAAGTTTCCAGATACGTCAAATAGCATGTATTTGTAGGGTCAAGCGTTCCTGCTCTTTTTAGGAAGATGCGGGTGGCTCTGAAAAGAGCCTTTGGGTTATTTTATCTGGAGAACTTTACTTGGCTTTGGCTTTGTGGCTGTCGGTCTTCTTGGGCAGCAGCACGGCCTGGATGTTGGG